GAGAGGGGCGAGAGGCAGCCAAAAGGCTCTTACCTTGCTGCAGGCCTACCCCAGCTCTGACAGATCTGCTTCCATTCTTGCTGCAGCCCGCCCTCGGTGTGGCTGTTTTTGCAGGGTTGACGGGGCTCTGCCCCCTCCCTAGGGTCCCAGAACACCGACCTTCCTCTCAAAGCCGCCGATGGGTGAAGCGGCCACGGCGTGGCAAATTTTGCGATCCGCCACCCATGACCAAAATGGCAGTGGTCCGCTTCCTGTTCCTCCGGCGTCGAAAGTGATGTCACGGAAATGACGCAGCTGCGGCGTCCCGCACTTCCTGCTTCCATGCTGCCGAGATCCAGGAGGAAGGTAAGCTTACCTCTGTCCCACAAGGGAAGGCACTGCCAAATAGGTCAGTGGAGCCGGCTCTACCCCCTAGAGAGCCCCGTTTGGACCATCCAGGGGTCTGTCTCCCCCGTCCGAAAGGGGTGCTTCAGAATGAAAAACCCTGCTGAAGCCACCCCACAAGGCCCCTGCCTTGCTAAGAAGAGGAGGAAGGGGGGGCCTCAGCCAGGGGGCCTCTGTACCTCGCCAGACAGCAAGGGAAAAAAAAAAAAACCGGGCGTAGCTTTGTCCTGGCCAGAGGAAACACTAATACTGAGGGTCCCCCTGGGAGAGAGGCTACTTGTAGGACAATAAGGTGGAGCGGGTGTTTCCTGGGAGGAGCCCATCTCTTATGTGGAGCTGTCCTAGAAGATGACTTGGGAAAAAAACACTTGTGAGTTTAACTAATCTTTTTTTTTTGTTAAATTCTCCTTTAAGGGGGGTGTGGCAGGGGGTGTGTCCTATGCCTACATAACTTTGCTAATAGGTATCCCTTGTTTTTTGATTAAAAAAATTTGGGAGCCATGCTGTAGCAGCCTGCCACACCGTATTCCGCTCCAAAACAATAAAGGGCAGCTTCACTGGCCATTAGGATTGGGAAGAAACAATCTTTTCATATTACAAATTAAGTTTAATGCAACCACTATTCAATATTTACTCCGATGTATATATAATATTAATGTGAGTCCATCTCAAATGTCCATGAGAATTATTCAATAAAAGTCCCAGATGGTGTGTCTTCCTTCATAGTTGTACATATCACCGGTGATAACCGTGTTGGGCACACATTAATATTCACCACAAATGCTGTGTTCCTCCATCTTTCAAAATAGTTGCATACCAGACAAACATAACTTACTTTTCATTAAGGCCATAGAGAGCCTTGTCCTTTAAGTAGGGCCAACACTCAGTTCCAAATCCAAAGGGGGATTAAGGAGAAGAGAGAATTTGTGGTGGGGGAAGAGGAGGTGGGAGAGGTGGGGGAGGAGGATTTGTGATGGGAAGGAGAATTTGGGGGGATTTGGGATGGGAGGGGGGGATTTGTAACTGAAAGGATAATTTAGAGGGATTTGGAATGGGAGGGTAGAATTGGGGGGGGGGGGGGATTTGTGATAAGGATAATTTAGGGGGATTGGGGATAGGAGGATGGAATTTAGGGGGGAGGATTTGTGATGGCAAAGAGAATGTAGGGGGATTTGTGGGGTGACCATAGCTGTGAAGGTGCAGGAATTGGGGTGATCTGAGGTGTGAAGGTGCAAGAATTGGTACATCTATGAGGTGTGAAGGTGCAAGAACAGGGTTGACGTGAGGTGTGAAAGTGCAGGAATTTGGGTGACCTGAGGTGTGAAGTTGCAGGAATTGGGGTGACCTGAGGTGGGAAGGTGCAGGAATTGGGGTAACCTGAGGTGGGAAGGTGCAGGAATTGGGGTGACCTGAGGAGGGAAGGTGCAGGAATTTGGGTGATCTTAGGTGTGAAGGTGCAAGAATTGGTGCTTCTATGAGGTGTGAAGGTGCAGGAACTGGGTTGACGTGAGGTGTGAAGTTGCAGGAATTGGGGTGACCTGAGGTGGGAAGGTACAGGAATTGGGGTGACCTGAGGTGGGAAGGTACAGGAATTGATGCTTCTCTGAGGTGTGAAGGTGCAGGAACTGGAGTGATGTGAGGTGTGAAGGTGAAGGAATTGGGGTGACCTGAGGTGGGAAGGTGCAGGAACTGGTGCTTCTCTGAGGTGTGAAGGTGCAGGAATTGGGGTGACCTGAGGTGTGAAATTTCAGGAATTGGGGTGACCTGAGGTGGAAAGTTTCAGGAATTGGGGTGACCTGAGGTGGGAAGGTGCAGGAACTGGTGCTTCTCTGAGGTGTGAAGGTGCAGGAATTGGGGTGACCTGAGGTGTGAAGTTTCAGGAATTGGGGTGACCTGAGGTGGAAAGTTTCAGAAATTGGGGTGACCTGAGGTGGGAAGGTGCAGGAACTGGTGCTTCTCTGAGGTGTGAAGGTGCAGGAATTAGCCTGGGCAGGACGTGTGTGAAACAGTCTAGTCTAGAAGTGGTTAACCTAGTAAGCTCAGGAGGCAGGGGGTTGGGTCAACCTTGACTTTCACAAAAGTCAAGATTTGCACATAACTATATCAACAATTACAATCACAATATCTTATTCACTGATGTAGACAAATATTGCATTTAATTTCAAAATATTTTTATCTTACATCTGTGCTTAACCCCCCTGGCGGTATTCCAGAGTGTAGCTCGGGGTAAAGTTTCAGTACCAAAAGCAGTAACCCCGAGCTACACTCGGGAATACCATGCGGCGTTGCTCCGGGATCCTGCAGCGCTTACCTTGTCCTGCGCTCCCGCGATGTCCCCCCTGCAGTGTCCCCAGCCATCTCCTCCGGCCGATTCCGGCATCCGGCTTCCGTGTTCCGGTCCCTGCGAGCGTCGGGACGTACAGGGAACGGAACCAGCAGCAAATTTAAAAAACTGTCATTTTCTTATAAACGAATATCACATAGTATAACATTCCTCTATCAAACCATTTCACATACATTGTGTCCCGAGTGCTTTGTCCTGCGCACTGACTGCATTTTTACTGTTCTTTTTGCCTAGAAATTTAGAAACGTCCATGGCGTCCAAAAAGCGTCCCTTTAGGTCAGACGCGGTTTTAGACCGGCTAGAGAAGAGCGATAGTAAATCAGAACCACTTGCAGAATTGAGTGATAATGATTCGTGGGGGAAATTCCTCATCAGACACTGAAAACGATTTTGCGACTCAGCTCAGCGATGTGCGAACTTGGCGCTCTATTTCACATTTCAGTGTTTTTGGTTTGATTATATTATTGAATTAAATTTATTATTGTTACCGTTTTTTTGCGCTCCATAAGACGCACCTAGGTTTTAGAGGCGGAAAACAAGAAAAAAAATATCTGAACCAATGGATTGCAGACACAGTACAGGGGATGACCAGAGACTGCAGACACAGTACAGGGGATGACCAGAGACTGCGGACATAGTACAGGAGATGACCAGAGACTGCAGACATAGTACAGAGACTGCGGACACAGTACAGGGGATGACCAGAGACTGCGGACACAGTACAGGGGATGACCAGAGACTGCGGACACAGTACAGGGGATGACCAGAGACTGCGGACACAGTACAGGGGATGACCAGAGACTGCGGACATAGTACAGGAGATGACCAGAGACTGCGGACACAGTACAGGAGATGACCAGAGACTGCGGACACAGTACAAGGGATGACCAGAGACTGCAGACAGTACAGGCCTACAATAAAAAAACGGTATATTTCCAAGCAAAAAAATGTACCGCTATGAGCTCAGAATTTTGTAAGGAGGGTAAGACTTCCTGAGATATTAGCTCTTTCAGGAGATCCTTAGTGCCCATGTTCTCCAGGATGTAGATCAGATCATCTCTGTAATACTCGTGAATCCTCCTCAGCGATGGATCGTCATACTCAGACAGCTTCTGAAGAAATCTCCTGAAGTCCTCTGTAGAAACACAGAAAATGTGATTACAGGATTGTGGCTTGAACTCAGAATCTTAACTATCACTGAGAAAGTCTATGGGGGTGATTTACTAAATCTGCAGAGAGCAGTAAAATAATGCACATAGGGAAAAAGGATTCCTTTAGAGCAGGGGTCTCCAAACTGCAGCCCAAGGGCCAGATGCGGCCCTTTGCTAGCCTTTATCCGACCCTTGGGGCTCTATTCCTCCCAACGCTCCTTCAGCGTTACCTATAATGTTACCACCTCCCCCTCTCTCCCCCTCTCTGTTGGGGTCCCCCAAGGCTCTGTCCTCGGGCCCCTTCTCCATCTACACCTCCTCCCTTGGCAAACTGATACACTCCCACGGCTTCAACTATCACCTCTATGCCGATGACACGCAAATTTACCTCTCCACCCCTCACCTCACCCCTTCAGTCTCCGCCCGAACCACTAGCCTACTGAACGACTTATCAGACTTGAAGTCGCTCCATTTCCTCAAATTGAACCTTTCCAAAACCGAGCTCCTGATTTTCCCCCCAGCCATCTCGACCAACAACGCCACCATCAGTCCCACCCCCCACAAGCCAAAGTCCTAGGTGTCACTCTAGACTCAAACCTGTCTTTCCAACCCCATGTCCAATCGTTGGCAAACTCATGCAGGCTCCACCTCCGCAACATGTCCAAAATACGTTCGTTCCTAACCCCAGACACTACTAAACAACTCGTTTACCCCCTTATTATGTAATGTCTGGACTACTGCAACTCCCTCCTCACCGGCCTACCCCAACACAGGCTATCCCCGCTTCATTCTATCCTGAATTCAGCGGCAAGACTCATCCACTTTACCAACCGCTCCGCTTCTGCCACCCCCCTCTGTCATTCCCTCCACTGGCTCCCGATTGCCCAACGCCTTAAATTCAAACTACTAACACAGACATACAAAGCCATTAACAACGTTGCCCCAAACTACCTCACCGACCTGATACCCAAATACCACCCAACCCGTACTCTTTGCTCCTCACAAGACCTCCTACTTTCTAGCTACGGACACAGCTGATCACGTGATGTGGTAAAAGGCCGATCACAGCAGCCTTTTACCACCTGATCAGCGGTGTCCAATGACACGCTGATCACAGGGAAATGCAAGTGCCGGTTCTCGGCTGCACTTTCCTCACGCTGTCAGATCGTGAGGAAAGTACTGCCGAGAACCGGCAGTTGTCACAGCGGGGATCGGCACCGATCATCAGGGCACTGATGATCAGTGCCCTGATGATCGGTGCCCAGCAGTGCCACCCGCAAGTTCCGCCCACCTGTGCCCAGCAGTGCCACCCGCAAGTTCCGCCCACCTGTGCCCAGCAGTGCACCCACTAGCTCTGCCCACCTGTGCCTAGCAGATCACCCACCTGTGCCCAGCAGTGCACCCACCTGTGCCACTCTGCAGTGTCACACACCTGTGCCCAGAAGTGCCACCTACCTGTGCCCAGAAGTGCCACCCACCTGTGCCCACCCACCTGTGCCCACCAGTGCCACCCACCAGTGCTGCCCACCAGTGCCACCCACCAGTGCAGCCCAGCAGTGCTGCCAGTCAGTGCCACCACTCAGTGCCCAGGGGTTGTGCCAGTCAGTGCCGCCAGTCAGTGCCCAGCAGTGATGCCAGTCAGTGCCGTCTATCAGTACCCATCATCAGTGTCACCTATCAGTGCCGCCTATCAGTGCTGCATATTAGTGCCGCCTATCCGTGACACCTCATTAGTGCCGCCTATCCGTGCCACCTCATTAGTACTGCCTATCAGTGCCCTTTAGTGCTGCCTATCAGTGCCCATCAGTGCCGCCTATCAGTGCCCATCAGTGCTGCCTCATCAACGCACATCAGTGAAGAGAGAAAAAATACCTGTTTGAAAAATTTTATAATAGAAACAAAGAAACTTTTTTTTTTTTTTTCCAATTTTTTGCACTTTTTTTATTTATAGCGCAAAAAGTAAAGCGCCCAGCGGCGATTAAATACCACCAAAAGAAAGCTCTATTTGTGAGAAAAAAATGATCAAAATTTCATATGGGTACAATGTTGCATGACCGCGCAATTGTCAATCAAAGTGCGGCAGCGCTGAAAGCTGAAAATTGGCCTGGTAAATAAGGGGGTATAAGTGCCTGGTAGGCAAGTGGTTAAAGGTCATACAGGAAATCGCTGCTTGTCACTGCCCCCACAGCTGCACCGATGATCGTTACATTTCTTTCTGCCCCCCCCCCCAGCTGTGTGTTCCTCATTGCCCAGTCCCTCACCCCATTATCCACATCAATAGGAGAAGAAGGGAGGGAGGCTGGATCTGCTCTGCCTCCACTTGTACCCGCCCACAGTCCAGTCCCTGCAGTTTCTGAGGATGTGTGGGTGGGAAATGGAAAACAGAGCAGCCAACAGGTCTGATGCTTCTGACTGAGTCATTTGAGTCTGACATCCCTTCCTTCCACCCACTCCTCCCTTCCTTCCTTCATTCCACCCACCCCTCCCTTCTTTCCTTCAACCCACCCCTTCCTTCCCTCCTAATAACCCACTCACCCCTCCCTTCTTTCCTTCCACCCACTCCTCCTCCTTCCTTCCTTCATTCCACCACCCCTCCCTTCTTTCCTTCAACCCACCCCTTCCTTCCCTCTTAATAACCCACTCACCCCTCCCTTCTTTCCTTCAACCCACCCCTTCCTTCCCTCCTAATAACCCACTCACCCCTCCCTTCCTTCCCACCCACCCCTTCCTTCTTTCTTTCCACCCCTCCTTGTCTTCCTTCCACCCACCCCTCTCTTCCTTCCACCCTCCCTCCATTCCTTCACATCTCCCCCCCTCCCACCCTTCCTTCCCTTCCCCCCCCTTCCCTTTCTTCCCTCCCACATCTCTCTCACTTCCTTCCTTTCACACCTCCCTCCCCTCCCTTCCTTCCACCCCTCCTGCCCTTCCACTCCTCCCTTCCTTTCACCCCTCCCTCCCTTCTACTCCTCTTTTCCTTTGCACCCCTCCCTCTCCTCCTTGCACCCCTCCCACCTCAACCTTCCTTCCCTCCCACCCTTTCACCTCTACCTTCCTTTTCACCCCTCCCACCCTTCCTTCCTTCCCTTCCTTTCTCCCTTCCTTCCTTCTTGCCATTTCCTTCCTTCCTTCCCTTCCTTCATTCTGTATAAAACATTTAAGTTACATTTTATGAGATAATTGCGTGTTTAGGGGCGGAATTAAGGGAGGGCCAGGATAGGGGTTGGGTGGGGCACCTAGTGGCAAGTAACTCTAAAGTCTGGCTAGTAGTTCAGGACTTGAAATTTTGAGCCCTGATAATACTACAAACTGCCACTGCACTATACACCGGCTGGGAAGGGGTTAACATCTCGGGGTACTCAAGGGGTAAATGTGTGCCTAACTATGGGTAATGTGTGTAAAGTGTGCTGCTTTTACTTAGCGATCTCTCAGTTTCTCACCCTTGCTTTGCAGAGATAATAAACTGACAGATCGCTGCCCCTGTACAGAGCTCTGTGTTGTTGACCAGCACAGAGCACTGGATTGCGACCGATCGCACACCGATCACCAGGTCCTGGCTGTGAATTAATGCTGACAGGCTCCTGCTGTGTACAATCACAGAGGGCGCCGATCAAAACCCAGACGTGAGCAGGGGTGTACGGGTACATCGCTTCGCCTACAGCGCCCGCCTGTCCTCATTACATTCCGGGTGGGTGGTCGCTAAGTGGTTAATAATCCAGATTGATAAGATTTGGGCGATATCTGGTGGATATGAGGTAGACGCTACATTTCTTTTACAAGACGCAGCAGCCTGCAGGTAATAGCGTACACATCATTACATATAACTGATCTGTTTGGTGCTGTACCCCTCCCCCCCCCAAAAAAAAATACTAAACTTCAGCTTCAATATTCAAGTTTATTTGAATATTAATTTTCTAGTCAATTATTTACTAGGTTATTTAGTTGCTTTTGAACCACTTCCAGTCCGGACACTTTCATCCCCTTCCTGTCCAGGCCAATTTTCAGCTGTCAGCGCTGTCACACTTTGAATGACAATTGCGCAGTCATGCAACACTGTACCCATATGACATTTTTTTTGCGACAGATAAAACTTTATTTTGGTGGTATTTATTCACCACTGGGATTTTTTATTTTTATGCTCTATAAGAGTCCAAACATTTTGAAAAAAAAAAGTGTTTTTCTTATAACATTTTGCAAATAATATTTCTTCATAAATCTTGGCCAAAAATGTATTCATCTATCTTTTTAGTTATTTTATTTTGTTATATTATTTATGTTTTTTTTTTAACATGCTGTCACCCTAGCAGTAAAATATCACCATAGTGAAACTGTACTACTTGTAGGGGGTGATGAAGATTTTTTTTTTTCTTTTTTTACACGGATTGCTTTTACACCCATAAAGACTGTAAAAGCAATCATTTCTCCTCTCTGGCTGCATTCCTGCAGCCATTGAGAAATACTGTGTGAGCTGTGATTGGTCACAGCTTGTCACATGATACAAGGGTGTTGTGAATAGCCCTGTACCATGTGACCTCTGTGATCATTCACAGATTTCACTAGTAGTAAGCAATGAAGTCAGGAAGTGACATCTTGCTTACTACTATTCATGTGATCACTGGTTGGCCAATCAGTGATCACATGATTGGGATATCACACAGAGGTCCCGTACAGCGGGCACCAGACCGCGATGCCACGCGCTCCCGGCAGGCAGTGAATGCGGAGGCCGTTTATAAATGGCCACCCGCTCCCGCACTGCTCCCGCCTGGCCGTTTATGTACATGGGCCGGACGAGAAGTGGTTAATGTAAAGATGATATAAATAAAATAGAACAACTTATTGATGCTTACCTTGTAATTCCTGCTGGTTGGATCTCTCCATTTGGGATAGCAGCAATCAGACTGTCGAGTACGAGACACGGGACACAATCGTTGCCTTTCTGATGATCTGCGCTGGTAATAGAGATCATGTGAATGTTGGTAAATGGATGAAAAAAGAATTTATCGACAAATAATAAAAGCCGTGTGTCACAGGTCACCCACACGCCACACCCACAGCGACTAGCTAACCGAGGCAGGCACGTGTGGCCGTGACTTGGGGTAAGAGGGAATAAAGGGGCACTTAACTTTGAATATATAAAACTGTATATAAGACCAGCCGTGATATACTTTCACAGCCCGCACTACCTCTTGGCCACCACCGGGGGGGGGGGGGGGGGGAGACTCCACTCCAATCCAGATGGCTGACCACACACTGGCAGATACAAATCTTATATACAATCTGGTGCACTGATTAGAGTTGAGGAGCAGCTTAGCAATCACACCCTTCTAGGATCCCTCCAGCTATCCTACAAGCTAGAACCCCGCTGTTAATCACTCTTCCACTGTCCACACCCCCCCACACCAGACACACCACAAACGGTAGCTTGCCACCACCCGACAGTTTATCCACAGAACGGTCTGCTGGAACACCACACACACACACAGATCTCCGTCTGGCAAATCTGTTACCTTTACAATCTGCACGCAATCTGTCCACACACAGTGCAATTGCATACAGATTGGCAATGAGCTTGACCGAGCATATAAAAGCACTAACATACAATACAATCTAATCTCTCTGGAAATATGAGCCCGTGCTTACGTACCCAGAAGTCACTTATTAATTTTAAGATTTAATATCCCGAAAGCGGGCAGTGCATAAAATATGTACAAAGTATAAAAAGTTACAAAAATACAAAAAATACAAGAAGACACATATAGACTATTCACTATAAAATAAAAGGGAATAAAAAACAGATAAAACTTTTACCAAGATCTATCCTGCGACTGGAGCAAGTCAGGGAGAATCAGCAATCCGTCAGTCAAATCGAACTGGCTCCATACGAATCACAATGTCCATAGCTCCAGTCCTCAATTTATGGGAATATGGACGTGGGCTGGACATGACTCCTGGACCAATTGCCTCTGGGGGGTGTTCCTGTACCCGCCCACAGGATGTTCTGGGTTCTGAACTGCCCAAAGTCAATTGGACCAAGACTGGCTTGAATCACCAAGTTGGGGATTAAATTTCGAACACCAGCGCATCAGTCCGATCGCGACAGTACCAATCACTGTTCCACTATTGCACTCCAGCGCCACATAACCATTTCCTGCATTTTCCTGGCATTCTACATAGGTCACAAATATAGTTTTTATATGCCGATGTGGCCTACAGAGTGCCCCATCAGAAGGAAGTATTTTCATCTCTCTGCAACTAATATTTCAGCTTGTATGAGGGATGAAACATACTCCTTTGATGTATGTATATACTTTTAGAGCTCCCAATGTCAGGGAGACAGATCGGAGCCCCCCTCGTGTCATGAAGCCGAAACGTCCTCGTTTCTCTTTTAAACTTAAGGAAGATGGCAGATTACATATAGGTGACAAAATCTTATTAGCACCCAGGTGCCACTTCCAGAGGAAGCTAGTCCCTTCAGATGCTAATTGACCATCTGTCTCTGAATACCTTATTTC